TTTCTTTCTTTCTTTCTTTCTTTCTTTCTTTCTTTCTTTTTTTCTTTTTTTTTTTTTGTATCAGGGCTTGAACTTGGGACCTTGCACTTGCCAGGCAAGCATTTATTATGCTGAGCTATCTCCCTGGCACTAACTTTTCTTTCTTTGGTCCTGTTACTAGAGAATTATTATGTGTTCCTAGGAAGACATAAGGTTATGTTGCTTTTTCATGCTTCTCATGTCACTCTGGTGATATTTGCACATCTGATGAACCTATTGTCTCTGGGAATTTCATCATGAAAGACTGTGAATGTAAGGTGTTTATTGATGAAGCTGTGTTGGCTTTGGCTCAAGGTGGGTACAGTAGTACAGCCTTTCTATAGCCTCTTGAGTTGTCATCAACATGGCATTGCTTATAGTGGCAAGTTTGCTGATGGCCCTGGGTGTAACTCACACATCTGAGTGTGGGGTGCTCACCACTTTCCAGGCAGGAATGGCATAGTTGGTTTAAGAGTGAAGGAACAGAGCTGTCATCAGATTTAGTGAGCTATTCTATCAGGCCCTGCACAAGAGTGGGCCCTCTAAGTTTCACTGGGCAACAGGGGCTGGAGCTGCTGCAGGAGGTCTTAGCTAGTTGCATCTAGGTCTGGTCCCAAAATAGCACTGTTCAGTGACAGCCTGGGTGGAGGAAGGTACAACATGAATTGAATTCCCTTTCCAGAGCAGCACAATACAGCATATTCTCTGGCAACTTCCCAACCAAGGTTGAAGGTCCCTGAGAACTGCACGATTCCCCAGAAGGAACATCTGCAGGTGGCATCCAGAGGGTGGCCAAGACCCACACTGGCCTTTTTCTTATCTTGAGAGATTGTTCCATTTCAAGCATATCCAGACTGGAGTGACAGGGAATTTGGAACACAGTGCCTTATTCCCTTCACAAAGCTGTCTTGACTCTGTGCCCCGGCTTTCCTGCTTCAATCACACTATACTCCAGCAGCCTTCCCCAAGTACTCTTAACTGGAGGGCAGGTAATAGTCTTTTATTTGGGATAGGGGATTCACTGTAGAAGGCAACCATGTCCAGCACCTCTAAACAGCCATCTTACATATTTCGTGTTAAACTTTCTTGGAGTCTTATAGAGGATTATTACTGAAGATGGAATAAATCAATGGTGCATATTATTTCAGACATACAATCAGAGTGCATGAAAAAAGAACAGAATTTTTTCATATATACATCTAAGATATAGGTCACCATTATGAATTAGTGAAAAGTATCACATTTCTGCATAATATTTTTAAAACAAGTTTAAGTGAATATTTACTTTTAACTCTGATATCTCACTTGACTCTGATATGAATTGATGATAGTCATTATAAAGTAATGTCACTTAGCCATGTTTGTTTTTATATTGATTTATAGTTCTGGTTTTCTTTTAAATTATTTTCCTTTTAAATCCTAGCATGCATACTGCAAAATCCGAAAGTAAAGATGAGGAAGAGATAAATTTCCTAACACCTACATCTGGCCAGGTAAAAAATTAAGTCTACATTGTAGTACATGATATAAAAATCTCATCTTAAGTCTATTTCTGAATTTTACTGCTATGATTTCTTCCATATGTTTGGTTAAGTGTGAAAAGTCACAATGTTGAAAGTGCTACTTAATGGGCCTAGCAAATGACCAGAAAATACAAAAGTTGTTCTCTAGAGTATTTTGGAAATAAATAGCTTAGATTTTAGGAATAAGAAAAATATAACTTGGGGATGGGGAGATAGCTTGGCAGTCAATGTGCCTGCCTGGCAAGCACAAGGACCTGGGTTTGACCCCTGGTACCACATGTTATGCTGGCCCTGGAACCTCAGATGTGTGGTGCCATGCTGGCCACTGAAACTGGGCGTGGTGGCACATGCCTGTAATATCAGTGTTTGGGGAGCCTGTTACAGGAGGATCACTATAAATCTGAGCTGCATAGTAAGACCCTGTACCAAACAAATAAATAAATGATTTAAAAAATTGAGAAGAAAAACATAGCTTATTGTTTCTTTTCATATCCAGAGAAATTCAGTGATTTAAACCAGTAGAAGTAAAGATGAGGCTTTGCACTATACTTTTTCTATTTTTTATTTATTTTAAAGAAAATAAAAAATAAAAACATTAAAAATGATACAGAATTTCCCAGTGAGGTGATAGAAAATCAGCAATGGTTTTTCTATTGCATATTGTTTTCTTCATTTTTTTGTTTTCTTTAAATGCATTTTGTGCAAGGTCTTGCGACGCAGCTTGGACTTTTAGTGATCCTCCTGTTTTCAGCACCCCCGCCCCCCTCAAGGGCTGGGATTACAGGCATGTGCCATCGTGCCTAGTCTTGGTGGATGGCTCAGCGCATCTGGGGGCAGGGCCAGCAGGGCACGTAGTGCCAGGGATAAAGCCCCGGTCCCTGTGCTTGCCTAAGCAGGCACTTAGTCTGCTGAACCTATCTTGCCGGCCCATGCATATTGTTATCTTCAAAGTAGTTGTTCATATATAAGCATGAAAAATTGATCAAAAAATTAAGCATTAAAAAGAATATGCAAAAAATTAAGCATTAGCTGTTCTTTTCAATAAACCAATAGAAATTAGTAGTACAATTTTCTTAGCTATCTTGTATATGTATATAGTTTTCCCCTTCCTTTTTTCTCCTTTATCTCATCCCAGTTGTTGTTTCCTTCTGAGCAGTTTCTTTCTCTTTCACAATACCTATTGTACTTTTCAGATTTTATTTACTCTTTTAGCTTATTACATGTGAGGAACACAATATGATGCTTACATATGTAGGACTGATTAATTTCACTTAGGAGTATGGTCTCTAGTTGTATCCATTTACCTATAAAAGCCTCCAGTTTATCTTTTTTTATATAAATGACTCCATTTAATGAAAATACCACATATTTTTTATCCATTCCTTAGTTGGTGGGCATTTGGGTTGTTTCCAAGATTTAATTATGACATATTGTGCTGCTATAAATATGGGTGTATAGGGCTGGTGAGATGGCTCAGTGGTCTAAAGCACCTACTTAGAACAAGCTTAGCAAAGCACAGGGACCGCGGTTCAATCACCCAGCATCACATGCCAGCCAGCCCCGCCCCCTGGTGGGCTGAGCTGGCCACACACACACACACACATAAATAAATAAAATTTTTTTTTAAATATGGGTGTATATATATCACCGTGGTATGATGTTTTCAGTTCTGTAAAAATATCCGGAAGGGAAATAGCTGGGTTGAATGGAACCTCTAATGTTAGATTTTTGAGGAATCTCCACACTGATTTCTACAGTGGTTGTACGAGTCTACTGTCCCACCAACAGTGGAGAAGAGTTCCTATTACCCCACAATCTCTCCAGCATTTGTTATTAGTAGACTTCTTGATAATAGCCATTCTTTCCAGGGTGATATGAAATCTTAGTGTTGTTTAAATTTGCATTTCTTTTCTTTTTATTGATACAGGGTCTCACTATACATCTCGGACTCATAGTGATTGATCTGCCTGTCTCAGCCTCCCCATCACTTGGGGCCAGGATAGCATGTGGTACCAGGAATCAAACTTGGGTCCTTGCACTTGCGAGGCAGGTGCTTAGACCACAGAGCTATCTCCCCAGCTCTAATCTGCATTTCTTGAATGACCAATGATACTGAACATTTTTTCATGTATTTACTTGCCATTTGTGTTTCTTCATCTGAGAAATATGTATTCATCTCAAATGCCATTTATTTTTTTATAAACTGGGTCTTTGAAGTTGTGGGCCTACTTTCTTAGGTGTTTATATGTTCTAGATTGAAGTCCTTTTTATGAGGCACAGTTGGCCAATTTTTTTCCCCAATTTGTGGGTTCTCTTTTTACTTTGTTGATGATTTCTTTTGAGGTGCAAAAACTTTTCACTGAGATCCCTGTTATTGACTATTTGGAGTATTTCATGGGCAGTTTGTTTTGCATTCATGAACTTTCTGCCTACCCCGTGTCTTCAAGATTTCTACCTATTTTCTCTTCTAGTACATTTAGTGTTTCTGTTTTAATATTGAAGTGTTTGATCCATTTTGACACTGTAGTTCAGTGCATGGCGATAGATGTGGGTGTAGTTTTAGTCTTCATGTGGAAAGCCAATTTTGCTAGTCACATTTATTTTTTTTTAAATATTTATTTATTTATTTATTTATTTATTTGTGTGTGTGTGTGTGTGTGTGTGTGTGTGTGTGTGTGGCCAGCTCAGCCCACCAGGGAGTGGGGCTGGCTGGCATGTGGTGCTGGGGGATTGAACCGCAGTCCCTGTGCTTTGCTAAGCTTGTTCTAAGTAGGTGCTTTAGACCACTCAGCCATCTCACCAGCCCGCTAGTAACATTTATTAAAGAGGCTTTCTTACAGTGAGCATGCTTGGCCCCTTTGTCAAAGATAAAATGTCTGAGTGTGTTTAAAGTTGTGTCTGCGTCTTCTAATATGTTCCATTGATCCTCCAATCTGTTTTCTTTTTTTCTCCCAGTACCATGCTGAGTTTATTACAACAGCTTTGTAGTATAATTTTAAGTAAGGCATTACATTGGCTTCTGCCTTGCCTTTGTTGGCCAGAATTGCTTTTGCTATTCTACATATTTTATGGTTTCAGATGAATTTTAGGAATGTTTTCTCTAGCTCTGTGATGGTATTTTCTTTATTTTTTATTTTTTGTATTTTTAGGGAAAGGTCTACAGGGTATCCAGAGTCTCACTACTAGATTGGACTCATAGTGATTCTCCTTTACAGTCTCCCAAGTGCTGGGATTACAGGCGTGCACCACCATGCCCAGTCTTAGTCGCTGTCTCAGCACGCTCTGGGGGTGGGGCCAGCACAGCAGGCCCAGGGACTGAATCTCCAGCCCCTGCACCTGCTTGCAGGCACTTTAATCTGCTGAGCTATTTGGTTGGCCCTTACTAATGGTATTTTGATTGGGATTGCATTGAATCTGTATAACAATTTTGGGAGTATGGCCATTTTCACAGTGCTGGTTCTTTCTGTCTATAAGAAAAGAAAACCTTTACATTTTCTGAAATCCTCCTCATGCTCTTTTATCAGAGTACTGTAATTTTTACTATATAGATCTTTTACTTCATTTGTTAGATTGATTCCTAAGGATTTCCCTTCTTTTTTTTTTTTTTTGGATGCTATTGTGAAGAGTATAGGATTCCTAATTTCTCTCTCAGTGAGTTTTTGTTTGTGTACAGAAATGCTATTGATTTTTGAATGGTGACTTTGTATCCAGCTATGCTATTGAATTTGGTCATTAAATCTAGAAGTCTTTTCATGGAGTTTTTTGGTTCTTCTATATAGTGTATCATGTCATCTGTGAATAATAATATTTCACTTCTTCCTTTCCTATCCCTATTCCTTTTATTTCTCTCTCGTCTAATTGTTTTGGCTTTGCAGTATATTTTAAACACTCACCCTTGCTTCTTATTCGTTTATTTAAGAAGAATTCTCCTCAGACTATGTCCACTTATTAAAAATTCTTAAATTGTAAACCTTAAAATACTGCAATATTATTTTATATAATTTGTCACAACCCTTTAAAAAAATCATTATGCTACACCAGAGAGATAGCTCAGTGGCATAAATGCCAGCTTGGCAAGCACAAGGTCCTGAGTTTGATCCCCTGGTACCACAAAAAAAAAAAAAATGCTTTCAGGGTAAATCCTGAGGAGATTTGACTGACCTTGTCAGATACAGAAGTTACATTTCTTGTTATATAGGTCTTGCTTTATCTTGGTCTTAACCATCCAGCAGAAAATTATACTAACAAGGTATAAAAAGTAAAGCCATATTAATATAATGAGCTGTAAAAGGCTCAAGTCAACAACTTCTGACATTGCCAGTCCTATAGGTAACCCACTATTATTATGGACTACTGGACTATATTGGATTATTTTGCTGAATTCACACACCTACAATATTTAAATGGTAATGGAATACCCATCTCTGACAAAACTAAACAAAAAAGGGAATATAAATGAAGAACCATTTTGTATCTGTATATACAAAATAGTTAGAATAGATATACAGCTACTTTCTCTTAATTCAATGAGAAGAAAGATTTGTACTAATAGTGTTTGGACAGGATATCATGTCTGCATTTTGTTTTGTACTATGAATAACCACTACGAAGATAACAATATGGAAGGTATTAATTATTGAAACTGTCCTACTAACCTGTTTTGAAACTGTCTCATTGCTATTTGTTTTTCAATAAAATTAATTTTAAAAACCCTCATCATTATGATTTTAGTCCCTCGCTACAGTGGTAGAAACTGCAGAAAGTGCCTTAATTCCAGAAATCAAACAGACTGATCATCAGATTTGGGGACTTTGGTCTTAGAAAGCCATGTAATTTCTTTTTTGCCAGCAGGTATTGTAAAGCCTTTGACTCCATTATCATTAATGCTAATCATCCCTTTCCTCAGTCTGTCAGTCATTCCAGCCTTTCTTATATTTCCTGTTCTCTTTTTCCACTATTCTCTAAATATTAACAATACACTCCATTTGTGTGTGTGTGCGTGTGTGTGTGTATGTGTGTGTGTCAGTGTACACATCCTCCCAACATGGCAACCACGGGCAGATTTGGAGATCTCTACTCTAGCTTGAACGTACCTCAGGGTTTATTGTTGTTGATGTAATTGTTCATGTTTCTGCTTTTTATATTGGAGAAGCTTCTCAATATTATCACAAACCAGAGGTTTTCTAAATTTGCAGTCTCATGGGTGGAGTTTCACTTAAAGCATTGGAAGATTAAAGTAAACACATATGCTATTTAAATATATTATTTACAAATACTCATGGAAATATAATTTCTGAAGACTTAACCTATACTTTTCTCATTTATCTTACATTTGCATAATTTATCAAATGAATGCAAAATTATAAATTTATATTTCACTTAATTCCCAGTTTAGTTGTACTTTGCATTTCAGAACAGTTTTGGTGATCAAACTGAGGTAGACAGGGGCTGGAGATATAGCTTGGCAGCATAAGCACCTGCCTGGCAAGTGGAAGGTCCTGAGTTTGATCCCTGGTACAA